CGAAAAGAGCTTTGCGTTCACGTTGAGCAATAGCACGGGCGCTACCACTCAGAGAGCCAGTATAGGGGACGCTCAAATTGATAGGTCGGCCTTTTCGTGAACCCCCACTACCTCTTTGATCTAAGATACCGTCAATCTCGTCAGCTTCACACGCAAATCCCTGCTTATATTAGCATAAGCTGTGATAAATGGCTGTGATTATTACATCGGTAAGCTGCTCCCACTCATCTTGTTCGAACCCAGGCGGAGGTTCAAGTTTGATGGCTGGAACTAGGCCTTCAGGTACGTCGCCGACTTGCTCTTTCGCGACAGGCATGGCGGGGACTGTGATAATGCGCTGTTGTAAATGGGGTGTTTTCAATGTAGTAAAGAGAGTTATTAGGTGTTGGGAGTTACTGGGCGTCAGGGGCTGGAGAAATGGGTAGACAGCATTATGCTCACCTAGAAATGGTCCGTGCGCTGCTGCCTGCGCTAGCGCGAAAACGCGGAAATTACCCAAAATGATCAACACATCGATGATTCCTTCATTTTTGGGCTGCACGCATGCGCGAGCTCGGCGTTTATCACAGCAGTTTAACACGTTTGTATGATATGCTCGCTACTGATTTTGCAACAGAAATGGTTGTATGCGATCGTGAAACAGCAAATTACGTCATGCAGTCCGTGCGCTGCTGCCTTTACTAGTGCGGAAATCGGGAAATTGCCGTCGCCCAAACTTTCCAGCTACCTAACTCTTTCAGCCTACTACTTTCTTAATTGTCGACCACATTTATCACAGTAATTAATCACATACGTCGCCTATGTTCATCATCTACTCTACTACGCAATGGCAAGGACAAAACCACGGCCTAAGGTCACCGGTAAAGCCGGCCGGGGTGGTCCTGATGGCAAGACAGTTACTGGCGGCAAGCCGGCTCAGAAGGCCCTTGCTAGTAAGGCTAGACGTCAAGTAGCAGGAAAGTCTACGCGAAAGGCACCTGTAGCTGTTAAGAAGAAGCGCAAGTTTAAGGCCGGCAGTAGGTTATCACAGTCGTTTATCACAGCTATTTTCTAATTTAGCTTAGCTGTCGCATTACGGGAAATCAAGAGATACCAGAGAGGTTTTGAACTACTCTTGCGAAAACTCCCCTTTTCCCGCGTAGTGCGCGAATTTGCACAGGTGCACAAGGCCGATATCCGCTTTCAACGATCTGCAATCGAAGCTCTTCAGGAAGCTACAGAAGCTTTCTTAGTTGGTTATTTTGAGGGTATAGTCTATCTACCCTATACTATTTTTCATTTAATAACTTTTATAGACTGCAACATCAATGCTATTCACGCAAAGAGGGTTACTATTCAAGAGAAGGATTCTCAATTGGCTAGGCGCTACTTTGCGCGCGAGTTACTAGCTTTTCTCTAGATTATAGGATATATCTAGATACACGTGCTTAAATGCTAGCTGGCGAAGCCTCTGTATATTATAAATGAAACTAGTTAATGCTACACTGTGTTAATCTACTGTGATACTATATAAACTTTTCTTTTATTGAAATCTATATTATACATCTTGCAATTTTTTTACTATAACCCAACCCTAACCCATGGTCCGTGCGACCCCAACCCAACCCCAACCCAACCCTAAGCTTGGCGCTGACAAATGGGTTGGGGGTTGGGTTGGGGTCGCAAAATTTCTAACCCAACCCCAACCACACCCCGACCCATTTGCCAGCGTATCCATGGAGGTCAACGCCCTCCATGGATACACTGGGAGGTGTTGCCAAGCCTGGAGGGCAGGTCACGTGACTGCGCGGCACGAGCTTACCCGCTGTGCCCTGCCTTCAACGTTGTCCTGCCGTTGTTGCTTGTTCTCCTCCTTGTAATCGTAACACAAGAAAGATTGGATTTGACAAGATACAAGCTATCGAGCTATCTACGTTGTGAGCCCGAACTTATGCTGTGGGCGCCAAGGCGCTAGTCCGATAAGATAAGGATCTTATCGATATGGGGGCTATGGATCCGTAACAATAGAAAGAGATGTAGCAGCGGGCTCTTATGACAAAGGAAAGTAAAATATGTGTTCTTTAGGCACGGAGAGTACTAATGTTATATAGTAGCTCTCTGTTCATTAGTTTTTTGTTTGTATACTTATAAGCCAGTGCTTGTAAGTGGTTTGTATGGTTTGTGGTTCGGTATAGGGGTCGGTATATCGAATGGTTAGGAGCGTTCGGTGGGTAGGGCGTGTCATGGATCAAACCCGCGACCTCTAGTAAGCGAGGTGGCCCGTGCGCCTTAAGCGAAGGCCACAGCCGAACACCAAAGTTCGACCCGCGCAGGTCTTCGAACCTGCACGCAATATCTCACTTAGTACTTAATACAGATACGGTCATCTCAACTATTGACGTCCCTCACAGGGCGTTCGGTGGTGTAGGCAATTGTATACAGGGATCTATTTACAATCATAGTAGATCTATACATCTACTGCCTTGTCGATAGTTTGCTCGTGAGTGTGCTGGTGAACTACAGCAGGTGCTAGAGCGGTTCGGTATAGGGGGTCGGTATATCGTGTCGGTTTGGGGAGTTCGGTTATAGATGACGTCTAGATATATAGACCTATTGCTTTACAGCAGTAAGACTATATACCTAAGGAAGAGCCGTTGCTCTGTCGATTTCGTATAGGGTGCCTTCGATCGAACATCTAAAATCAGTTGGCGCACGGACCACTTGCAGAGATTTCTCTCAACTAAGGCCAGGTCACAACTCTGTCAAAGTTGCAGCGGCCAGCGCGCCCGCCACAACGCCTGCACGCAGAAACAGGCGTTGGAAACTGATTCTAGGAAGGCATTTTAATAGATTTGAGATGAAAAAAGGGTAATCCAGGACCTTTTTGTCATCTCGAAAAGTTGGTGTTCGATGTATGTGTAGAGATTGTTGTTGTTGTTGTTGTTGTATCCATTAACGTCCTTTTTCAGTCAGAGACTATGTAGGACGGTGGCCTAGGGCTGTTTGACTAGTTTTTTCCCTCTATACCCGTAGGATTTCGTTTCTTTGGTCGAGTTTGACTATGGGGGTTTGGGTTTTTTGCTTCTATACAGGAAAGAGAGAGAGACCTTGTAATAGACACCCGTTTATCTCCACCTTTGTGACCAATTGTCAGATATAATGAGATATTGCACAAAAGTGATGGATGTTGATGATTGTGTGTATTGTGTTCTGTCTATCGTGTGTCCGCGCTTGTGGCCCTCTTGAGGGGCGCACTGACCCTCTCTACGCTGATTGGTTGCTGCCAACGTCGAGTAACCCTGCTATCTGACACCAATCCCTTTGCTATAATAACCCCGTGCTCCTAAGACTGAAAAAACCTCGTAGGGGAAAAAGTCATGGGACCTTGAACGTTTGTTGTATATAGCGGCAGTTGCGGCATATTTTCGTCTCGGCGGTACTTTGTGGCTCGGTTGTACGGCGGCGGCTAGCGTTAAGCGTGCGGGGTATTGGTGAAAAACTTTCCAGGTTTCGAAAGGAGCCGTTCGATGTTTTTTGGTAAAGCTAGAATAATAGAATTATTATAGCGGTGAGGGGAGAAGGATTCGAACCTTCAACCTCTGCAAGCAGGCTAGCAGAAGCAACCAGGCGCACTACCACTGCGCCATCCCCCCTATGTGTAGAGATTATTTGGGTACGAAGGTGCGTATTTTGCTTACCTCCGCAATTCGCTTGCCGTCCACGTTATTAGTTGTCGGTTTGTGCTGACTCGCATTTCATAAATTTGTCTGAGGCTGATGGACTAGGGGAAACTCAAGTACTGGAGTCATGAAATCGGATGTGGTTTATATCATTAGTCTTACGTAACACGACGGAGCAGTTCCCGACTAAATATATTACAAAAACTGTGTTGATCTCACATCTCTTAGTTAACCTTACGAGCTAACAATCAAAGCAGCGTCTCTTCTCGGCTGCCCACCCATATTCATTCGTGGTTGATGATAGAGAGAAGATTAGAAACTTCCTCGAAGACGAAGCTTTGTGGGTACAGGAGACGCATCCGAGCAAAAAATCCACTGGCAATACAAAGCAGCGCTTGGTCTTCTCTTCTTAGCTCGGTATTCTGATTTAGTAAGGAGTTCTGAGCAAGCAGACAGAATGCAAAGACATTTGTGAACATAAAATTCCTAATCAATAGTCAGGGTGGCTTCTGCAATCGATCACAAGGTTGTTCTATGCTTACTGGTCTTGAAGCAGATCATCAGACGGTATCGTAGAGCACGAAAGCACGACCTCCCGGATAGATCGCCGTCTGATCGCTTCCCATTCTTGGTGCGGCGGATTGAGGGGATTGTACTGGTTTGATGAGCAAATGCTCACCAAGTGAAGCAATGCCTCATGGTAGAGACAGAATGCTTGATGCTTAGCGCGTCTTGCTCTGCTTTCCTCTAACGACGCTATGAACGGATTCTCTATGATTGATTCGTGCCAATCATCTAATGCTTTCGCTAGCTCTATAGATCTTTCCACGAAGGAATTAGACGTATTCTCGTCGACAGCTTTG